GCACTGAGAAGTTTGTAAGACCCAGCAGGAATTCCAGCTGACTACAGTGCAATAAATGGATTCATCTACAATTTTCTATTTCTATTTTCAGAATAAGTGTTTAATATATGCCACCTACTTGGGAAAATATTCAGGATAATGTTCTTTTTATGAATACCCTTTCTGATTACATTATTTTAAAAAGAGATAAAATAATGAAAGTTTTTAAATTAAAATTGATTGTAGTCTAATTTGTGTGTGTCTTATAGTCATCTTAAGACACACATTTTAAGAGCTTCTTGCTTTTTACGCATCATCTTGGAATTCTGTAATCAACCAATACGCTTAGTAATTTTTAAATGTAACAGCTAACTTTGAATTGCCTATAAATATTAAATCTGAGAAATTTGGAAAGTGGTACTGGGTTCTTGCAAGGTGTGTCTGTAGACACACTAGTGGAGTATGTTCATGTTGATGTTCTGCTTAAATTGAGAGGGCAGGGAGTTTGCTGTCAGGAAGTAGGTACCCAAATGTCAGGAAAAGGTTTTTCACTATGTCCCACCACTCCCATAAAAAAAAAAAAAAAACAAACAACAACAACAAAAACCTTTAGCTTCAATTTACTGAAACTGATCCTTTAAATTTTTGCAAATAGAGATACGGAAGGGATTCTAACATTTTACTGTGACTTGTCCATTCTACCTATCCCCCTTAGTTTAAGTCCCATTTCTTCCATCCACCCTCATTGCTAACTTTGATTTCAGTTTTTCAGACTTATATCTGGCACATGGTTGTCAATTCCTTTTGTTTATCCTTTAAATTTTATTCAGATTTCTTTTTTTTCCTACTGCTTTAATCCTTTAACTCACATCTTTCCTCATTTGTCCAGAAATATATCAAAATGTCTGATGTGTTGGTGATACCTTTTCCTCCTCAAGCCTTCTCATGGATGATATAGATTTCTTGCTGTAGAGTCTCAGAAGGGACACAAGCAGGTGTGCACACTCTGTTCTTCAACTCCATGTCTATGCCCACCCCCTCACTGAAACATATCCTCTGGTTTCTTCACACTACTCTGTTTCCTATTTTCTCTGTGTCTTCTTATTATATTTCACAGTATTTCATTATTTACCCTCCTCAAGTCATCTGGCTTATTCAAGACTTGATCCGAAGTGTACTTGTTTTCTCATTTCCTACTGTCTCCATGTGCTTTCTCACTCACACCACTGTTCAATTATCACCTTTGTTGCTATGACTTTTGTTTATATCTGAACACTTTTATTGGAACTACTTATTGTTTTTCTTCTACAGGCCAAATGTATTACAATCTTATTAGTGTTATTAGTTTGATTTTTCATTATGTTATACTTAATTCTAAGTTTTACATATTAGGAAAAATACATCTGGTATAGCATCAATATCTAGAAAATGACTGAAAATCTGGAGTAATATGATACTGAATTGTTACATAGTACTAACTTTTAAATATCTATTGACTATTAGCTTCCAGAATCAGTTGAAGGGGAGGCATATAAGATTTTGTTGTATTTGATGATGATAATATAGAAGCGAAAGTAGAAGATAAAAGTAGTTGAGGGAAGGAGAAGTAAAAAGTAGGGATAAAATTATTCTAATTTTATGAGGTAGGAAATTAAAATTTGTTTTGAAAAGTATGAAAACTGCAAAGATTTAGTACATTATTGAATCTAAAAGGGAAGCAACAGAAAAACTATGAAAATATCTGAACATGACAGAGGGGAATATACACCCTGTTTAAGGAGGGGAGGGGATTTGGGGTTGGGAAGATAGAAGAATGAGTTGGACATTATTATCCTATGTGCATATATGATTATATATGACTGGTATGATTCCACATCATGTACAACTAGAAGAGTGAGAAGTTGTACTCTATTTATATATGATGTATGAAAATGCATTCTAATGCCATGTATAACTAAATAAAATGAATTTTTTAAAAAAGCATATATGAACATATGACAGGAGAACAGAAGTGCTTGCATACTTATTTGAGGGATTAAACAACTATTATTTAAAATTGATTAACCAAGAAATACAGGTATTTTCTAGCATTACATGAAAGTTTTCAAATATGTGAATTAAAAATGACTTTTTTTCCCTAAAAAAATGAAACACTAAAGAGTGAACTTTAAGAACAGGGAGCAGGATCAATATGGTTTTTTTGTTTCTCTGCATTGCTACATTCATTCAATAGGGATGTTTTAACATGATAAAAAAGATATTAATAGACAACAACCAAGGAAACAACAGACTTAGGTAATTTAAAGAAATAAGAAATGTGAATTTTCTATCTTCTCTGGTAAAAAATAAGACTGTCCCTGAGTGATATAACTGAAACTTAGTAGATTTATTCTACTTGTTCTTTTTTTTTCAGTTAAATTTGAAATCACCATTTTGTTTTACTTATTTTTGCTGCACTTATTAATCATGTCAGAGTATTTCTCAAATAATGTTGAAGATAGACATTTATTAAAAATTAACAATATTGATTATTGCAATTATTTCAATTCATTTGACAACTAAAATTATTCATGTCCAGTAACATACCATTTATTATATAAGAAACAATGACTAATAGTGCATTATTCTGAATAAACAGAGGGAATGAAAACCAACAGTAGAGGATGGATTGGGGATTGGTTCTAGCAGGATGAATATCTCTATTGAGAAAGAATGGGATGGGGAATAATGATGTGGATGAAGATGCAATTAGTTAGATTTGAACTGTGTTAGTAGAAAGATGAGCTTGACAACTTAAATAGTTCTGTGAAGTGGTAGTGGGGGAACTGTCCATTTGAAGGAAAGCAGAGAAGCATCCAAAAGCTTTTGACAGAACAGTAGATTAAATCATCTAATTTAATGGAATTGAGTAGCGCCTTTCAAATTGGTGATCATGAATCCACAGTGGGTGTTACTTTTGAAGCAGTCAGAGTAAGACTACAGTTGAATTCATTGGGATCAGAGGTTTGCCAAACAAAAGAAACAAAAGTTGGAAGGAATGGAGTATTTTAAATATCAGCAAAGGATTACTCTTTAATGGTTGAGTATAGAAGGTAGAAAGTAAAGTTAAGTGACACATTTGGGCCATGAATTAAAAGTTACCCATGGACATTGAAACTTTTAACTAACTAGTGGAGGTAGTATTAGTTTTGGGGTTCTGACTAATCCATGTGTTATTCTTGTAACTGGCATGTGTAATAAGAGGTCTGTTGTATGAAAAGAAGGTGGAAAAGACTCTCCAACCTCAGGCCTGAACCAACTGCAAGGTGTAATTATATATAAATGAATAGTGTAAATGCAATTAATTGTTCACAGAGAAGAATGTTACAATTCTCAGGTAAGGATGCTTTAAATTCTTAAAGGATTAATGAAAGAGTGCTCTGAAATTTTATGAAAACAGCTCACAGAGAAGCAAATCAATTCCAAGATGTTGATTAGATAAATTTGAAAAATAAATTTGAAGTAAGCAAAATATATACACACTCAGAACTTCAACTAGAATGATGGAGCACACAATGGTGACACTTAAATCTCTTTACCTGGCCTAGCTGTCTTATGGATATTAGGAACATATATTGGAATGCCTACTATATAGCTCCACAGAGATTTTCTGTGGACACTTCACCTTATCATATCCAAAGCAAAATGCCTCATGTTCACCCACTCAGCAATCTGTTCCTCCACCTGCCTCTTGTGAAGAAGCAGCACACACTCATTGAAGTATGCCAGTACCTTGAAATTGTCTTATACAGTATCTCCCTGCAGTCCAGAGCACCATATTTAGTTTTCAAATCCTGATAATTCTACCCACTTAATATCTCAGTCATCTTTCTTACCCTCTAAGGCTACTATCACTATTTTTGTTCCATCCTATATCACCTCTATTTAGTTTCAGTAGCCTCTGGGTTGGTCTGCCAGTCCCTGTTCATGTTTCCCACCTGTTCATCCATGACACTACCCTGTGTGGGCTTTAGCAGGACTCATCATCTCTCTAATGTTCCAGGTTGGATTTCTCCTCTTTAAAATGAATATTGTATTTGTACTCTATCCACTAAGGTTACTAAAATCTATAGTCTACAATACTGTGTGTGTGTGTATACTTATAGCTTAGTAAGTCTCATAAACTTCATTAATGAGTATGTATGTATCTAAAGACACACTAAATAGTAAGAAAAAAAAATCAGTGATATAACTTTAGTCATAGATTCCAGCAGCAAATATAGTCTAAAACCAAGTATGTAAAAGAACAGCATTGAGATAGATTATTTTTTAAATTTCAAAATCAATCAGTTCTTAGCTCACTTAATAATGCCTTCATAGATTTTTTTTTGTTGCATGATAGAGCAAGTTGCATATCATATATCAACTGTAATACAGCACTTGACTTCTTTAATGCAATGCTTCACTGTAAATGTCTATAAATACAAATGAGGTGTTTAAATGTGAAGATACTTTAGATAGATGGCAATACCTATAATTATAGCATCATCATATCTGCCTGAATTGCACTTAAAAGTTAAAGTTCCAACTGTTCCTATTATTGAAAAAGTAATAATAACAATTATAATTGTACCATGAAGTATTAAAAGCTGAACATTCAGTTTGAAAGCAGCTAAAATAAAAATGTAATGAAAACTGAACCCATAAAAAGCTTACAATTCATATACATATGCTATATGGAGGCACTAAAGTGGAAAGAAAAGAACTGTGGTCTCTTTATGACAGTTCTCAGATTCTCTCTTTCTTTCTGGAATTACAGTAGCATTATAATGAATATTTTTCATCCATGGATCATCTCTTTCCCATATCAAATTTTTTCTTCTAAGGTATGCATAATCTCAGAATAAAAATGCTGAGTTTCTAACCATGGTGAATGCCTTTTTATTTTGTTTGTACTAGGTCAAATGCTTAGAGAACACTGAATATCTGTTTTTCACATGTGTGAGACAGCTGACCATTTTCCTCTGGGCCACGCAACTTACCATCATTTCGTAGAGTGAGTGGTGTTGGAGGACTAAGTACTCGAGCATTCGTCACTGTGTTTTTCACCAGACAAATATAGCTGCCGACATCTGAGGTTTGCACTTTAGAAATATAAAGGTTGCCTGTCTCCTGGGAAATGAACCGCCGGCTGTCTTCCGCCACAAAAGAAGGGAACTCATTAAACACCCAGCTATAGATGATCTCTGAAAACACAAAATTCAATTGTTGAAAGATACATATTATTTAACTATCAGACAAAGCTCAAATAACAAAAGACTTCATAAGTACCACATAGATTGCAAGTCTATCTATATTTTAATTTAGCACATTGCATTTAAAGAATTGTTATGCTTCATGGCTACAGGAAGATTTGAATATTTCTTAGGAATGCTTTATTCTTTCACTTCCAATGTGTACTGAATATGGGTTAGATACTCAGCATTACAACATGAAAATAAAAAGATGAGACAGTTCCTTATTCTCAAAGATCAACTTACTGAGGGAAATTTATTCAAACCCATGAATCAGCATGCAATAAAGAGATGGCAATGTATATTCAATTGTAAATACAGCTTGAGAGAGGTGCATAGTCATTTTGATCAATGAATATTTCCTGAGTTAGGAGACATTTGAGGTGCATTCATTTACTGGTTTATTCATCACACAATGGTTGAAGATCACTTCAGACCAGGCATCCTTCCAAGAAAAATTGGAATGTCCATGCTTTTATTATAATGGGGGGAAACGAAGCCTATATCAACAAATAAGGGTATATCAAACAGTTGATAAGTGCTGTGAAGGAAACTATAGCATTTTGAGACATTATGGCAGGGCTGAGAAACTTGTGAATTATATCTTACAATGTCTCCATAGAGAAGGAGTAAGTATCATGGCAATGAAATGACTAGGAGAAAGGAAAGCAGGAGAAATAATGACAACTATCCTAGGCAGGTATTTTTAAAATAGTCATGGAAGATACAAAATGCTTACATGTGAGTGGTAGTGGTAGTGACAGTCATGGAGAAAGTGGAAAGAAGTGACTGACTGGTTCTGGTAAAAACATGGTGGAAGGTTGACAGAAATGCTGATGAATGATTATGAAATGTAATAGGAACAACAACAACAAAGATTAAGTTTACTTATTCGTAAAACGGAAATATCATTATCTACTTCATAAGCTTTAAAACAAAATAGTGCATCTAAGCACTTGAAATATAATAATATATACATAATATAAAAAGTACATCTTTATGATGGCTCATCTCCCTAAAACTGTCTGGTTAGGGGTTCCTCCTAACACAAAGGGGACAGAACAGAGATCTAAAACAACAGTAAAGGAAAAATGTAAAAGTAAGTATTTGATGTTTTCCACAAAATTTTCAATGAAGAATTGTATGTTTATTTTAGGCAAGATTTAGCCAACATATTTTTATTTTCAAGGCACATATGGTAGTTCTAGCAGAAGCCTGAGAATTTTGAAATATTTTAATAGTTTATAATTGTAATATATGCCAAAAACTTTCAAGTATTTTAATAAATTCTTTATAAAGAAAACTATTTTATGGTTATAATTACATAAGTTGGTAGTCTTACTCCACTTGATATTATATTAAAAAATTATTACAAATATCCACATGGCCTTTTTCAAAGGAGGCCCATGGAGTATATCTAAAATACTTCAGCATGCACTCACCATGCTCAAGCAGACTAATTCCAAGGACTTCTGATTTAATTATATGAAACCTTCTAATTGTTATAATGAAGGTTATTTTATCATTCACACATATCTCACAGACATTTAGTATTTTTTATTAGAATTTACTGGAATTTTTTTGTATTTTTGGTGTATACTACTTAAAATTTGGGAGGAAAGAAAGCAATGAGCTATTAAAGGCTATCATTCACTGAAATATTATTTATGTTACACTGTATATCAGTCTGCTTTACATCTCTGTGACCAAAATACATAATAAGAACAGTTTCGATGAGGAAAAAAATATTTTTGGTTCATGTTTTGAGAGGTCTCAGTCCATGGTTGGCTGACTCCATCTCTCTTATCCTGAGGCAAGGCAGATCATCATGGTACAAGGTCAGGCAGAGGAAAAGTGCTAAACTCATGGAAGCCAGAGAGGAGCCAAGGAAAAAATATCATCCTCAAAGGCAAACCCCCAATGACCTACTTCCTCTAGCAGTGCCCTGCCTGACTATATTTACTAACCAGTACAGTAGTCCTTCCAAATTATTAATCTAAAAAATAGATTAGATGAATCACTAGTTTACAGCCTTCAAAAACTAATCATCTCACCTCCAAACATTCTTATATTGCTTAATATGAGCTTTGGGGGACACCTCATATCCAAACCATAACACACTGTTAATATTTATTGAATTGGTATCTCATAAAATATTTTTAGAATGAGACTAAAGAATATAAAATTAACATTTTCTCAAACTTTATAGAGTATTTGGGGCTCAAAAATGCACATGTTGTTCCAGAAATAAGTTTCTGGTTTCATGTAAAAAAGCATTTCATAATTACAAGAAGGATAAAAAAATAAAAAAGGCAGACAACAAAAGGCTGACAATCTATACCAAAAATAAAAATGTTGAACTGAACTAAATGTCTTTAGAATTCTTTACTGTATCCACCTATGAGGTTTTCTTTTACCTATTAAGAGTACCTGGCCCTTAAAAATAATCTAATATATTCTTATCTATTAAATGATAAAAATTTGACATTATTATTCATTTCAGAAGACTAGCTACTCAATTGTGATTTCACATTTTTGAAGGTTTTTGTAAACAGTATATTTAGCTAAAGCAATTTGAAGTGTTGTAGATGTTTTGGTATGATCCTTGTGTATATTTTTAGCAGACAATGAGTATTTTTGAGGTATCTTGTACATCCTAGATTGTAAAAAGCTTCCATAAGAATGCTTCTGCATCTGCTTAAACCCAAGGATACGCCCACTTTAAATTCACTGGTGTTATTTTTGTTACCATGTGGTATTATACATTTAGCCTACAAACCCATGTGCTATGGAGTCTTTGGGCTTCTCTGGGAGAACTTTTTGTCTTTCATGTTGAAACAGTGAGGGTCATTCTAGTTTACTAGAAATAGGGCCTGGCTTGATGCAGTCATTGCTATTTCAACTTTTAGTAGCAAAGAGACCTAATGACTTGTCATTTGTCCTGGCAGGATCTTTCATCTTCAAGATTCTAGGCTTTATGGTCAATTTCTATGGCTTGTTCCAAGATGTCTTCAGGATTAACAAAATAAACTGTTAAGCTGATAAGCTCGGCCTAAGTCTGATTTTGTACTTCCGTGTTAAATTTTAGCCTAAAGCTGCCTCCACATGTAACAAACTGCATCCTAACTTAGTATGTAAACAAATTGCAAACTTAATTAAGGGGATATTCTTATATCAGATGTCTAATTTTCAGCCAGTCACAGGAATCAAGTTTCAACAGTTCACAGTATGCCATCTAAATCCACCATGTCCATATTAGGCAGATGCTGACTGTGACTAATCAAATTGTTTTTGTATCTCACTGTCACTTCCTTTTCTGTAGAAATAAACACAGCCTGCAAATGTGGTAGAGTGGGGTAGTCTGAAACAACTTTAGTTAGGAATTCTCCCTGGTTTCAAAATCTTCTACTTGCTCAAATAAGCTTCATAAAATGTAATTCATCTCACAGGTGGAGTAAGATGGTAGCTGAGTAATATCCTCCAGTGAACATCTATCCATAGGCATGACAAATGGAAGTGTTATTCAAGCACCAAAGCACCTTAGCAATAGCTAAGGGAATGAGATGAATGATCATAGTGCCTGCTTTTGGTATAACAAAATGGAAAGATACACTGAGAAGGCAGGAGGAAGTTGCCCATATCATCTCATCTCCATATCCAAGCAATATAGCAGTGTGTAGAGATGCCACGTGCTTGAAGGAAGAAGAGGGAATTAAATCCAGGTCTCAGGCTTGAAATACAGCTAGTTCCAGGTCCTCTGCAGTGAGACCCATTGCCAGGGAGAGCCCTATAACACCTGCCACCAGGATAATATCTATGGACTAAACTGCTGGAATTGAGTTAGTAGTCAAAGAGACAGCTTCCAACACCCTTTCTCCAATCTTGGATAGTACATCAAGAAGCAAGATTCTACCACTGGGAACAGGAAACTAAAGCTAAAATAGAATTCTGTCTTGGTGCTCAGTACCAGGTCCATCAGGGTGAGACCCTTAACTAAGTAGAAACTGAAGGCAGTTCCTTAGGTAGGCTGATGCTAAGCTGGGTTGTATGTTAATCTCACAGCTACTAGCACTTTCTGTAAAGCATAGCTCAAAGATGGAATAGATAGACCTGTCCTCACATCAGGAAATGCCTGGGACTGACTTAAGTTTTGTCCTGTATCACTTGTAGACTTGGAATGAGCATGAGGCACATTTCCTTTCCCTCACCCATATTACACTGTGCAGGTCCCTGAAACTGGGAAACTCAGGTGAAATACAGCTTAGCGTTAGCTCTGATGGCCCAAGATTTTCTCCACTATCTGATATCCAATCTCAGGCAGCACATTTATTGCAAAGCCAGTGCTAGAAGATAAAACTATAGAACTGCCCTGGTATTGGGAGGAGCCTTTACCTAGTAGGACAGACTCATGTTTAGGCCAGTCACCACTAGCTATGGTGCACCCATGAGACTGTGAAAGTTCTAATAGCTGTGAGATTAACATACAACCCAGCTTAGCATGAGTCTACCTAAGGAACTGCCTTCGCTAACACTACCCCAATCTTGGGCAGCATAGCATGGAGAAGAAACTATTAGCTGGGGTATGTGGGTTTGTAAGTACAGTACTTGGTCTGAGAATTTAGTCATAAGCAAGTGAATTCTAAATCTAGGCAGGTCTTAATGCCCCTGTGCAGAGGCCTGCCTGCAGATGGAACCTCTGGAACAGACCCAGTACCAAAAAAATATACACAGCCCCAGTTTATTAGACTCATATTCTGACCAGCATCATTTGTGGCTGGTTGTAGAAATCTTGTGCCACAAGTTTACCAAAACAATAGATAGCCAATAGCAGTGTTTTATTGATCTTTGTGGTATGTGAGCTTTGCAGCATTGGTGGCCATAGGATCTTGGAGCTGGTTGATCCATGGTGATTCTATGTAGAGTCTCAGAAAATGCCACAATACCTTATCACA